ACGAGTGCATAAAAGTAAATAAACAAGTATTCTTTTTTTTTTATTTGTATAATTCTTAATCGCTCGTATCGTTTTAAGGCACGTGAACGAAAGTTATAAGTAAGGGATGTGCTTGCGATTTAACACGACAATTCAAACGTATCGAAATATGCATCGATAATTGTTTACACGCACCTCGCGCACATCCAAGAGCTCTTAAAACTTCTAAAAGCAAATTCTAAAGCCGCGTGTTTTTCCTGTTAATATAACGTAAAAAATAGTTGATAAGACCAAGTTGATTATGGCACAATAATTCCTTACCGGTACTCAATGCTATTTATTGTAATGGCACCCACGCTCTATTAAGTCTGAGAGAAAGGGATTACTCGTACGAAACGGCAAATAGAAATATTTAGATTCATTCAACGTTGATAGGGTCGCGCATCTTTCTTCCGTAATTTGTTCGGCGACTGTATGATCATTAATCAGCCTCTCCCGGATCATCAATAGCGCGAAAGATAGCTGGCGGGTTGGCGGTGTACCGGTAATGGGAGCTCTCAATAACTTCGAGGGTGAGGTAGAAGGTGAGTCCTCTCGCTCCCTCTCTCTCTCTCTCTCTCTCTCTCTCTCTCTTGCAAACGCACTCCCATGACTACCCGCTCCTTTTTTTCCCACACTACCGCTGCTGCTGCCTCAGAAGCTTGAGAACACGAGAGAGAGAGAGAGAGAGAGAGAGAGATATTGGGAGGAGGAGGAGGAGGAGGAGGAGGAAAGAGCCGAGGGTAGTGCATCGTCGCCTGGACACACACATTGTGTCGTGTCCTCCGCAAACACTCCTCTTCCTCCGCTCCATCGTCCGCTCGTCCTTTTTGCCCGTCGCGCTAACCTTACACAGCTTTTACTTTAGGAGAAGCACGTCGGCTAATTTGTACCACAGATAACTCCGTCGCACCTGAAATTCACGAGAGCCCATCCGTGCGAATGCTGCCCAGCTCCTTTCCCTTCTCTCGCTCTTCATCCCGTTCCACTCTATCTCTTGCGCCAACTTGCATATAGATAGTGCGGAAATCTGTTGCGCTTAAATTCGAATGCAATGCCAGCAGATACTCGATGCTGTCCTCCCGGTGTACCGTTGAATTCAATTATAATGATGTCGCGTCCTGGAAATTCCGATTTAACGTTAGTTTATCTGCTCGGTCTCTTCTCGACATTGCCGAAAATATACACAGTTTCGAGCCTTTTGCCCTTGATTAATTATTCCCAGGCACGTGCTTTCCTTTCATTCCCATTCATATATAAGACACAATTATTTCCAAACAATATTTAAATTACAATTGAAAGATAATTAGTTGATCATCTCGAGGCAAATGTTATTAACGATATGAATCCTCTAAAATAAACAAAGTCTCTCTTTATTTTCTCAAATTTATAGCAATAATAAGGCAATTAAAGAAATGGGATTTGTATGCTGCGATTGCTCGATAAAGTAAATAAATATTGTTATGCGTAGGAGTTTGCTGTAATCGAAGCCTCGTTTACATTAAAAATCTATAATATGATCTACGTATTATTGATGATAATTCTCTTTGTATTTCGTAATAATTTTAATTACAATTAATTCATGCTTATCGGGAGGCCGTGATTTCACTCCAAACCTCTAAATATACAAACCATACTGTCCTAAAGAAATTACCAATTTTTTCTTAGTAATCTATTTACAGCTCGTATATATAGACAGCGAGTATGACCGTACAAGACTTTGACACGAAAAATTATCGCTTACCAGTATGTTATCGGTAACCCCGAACGTACACACGTCAAATACGACAGGATACCACACCTACCTTTATAAGCCAGTAAAACATCACACCTGAACTCTGTCATTCGCCTTCTCTCGAACAAATACGTTAATTTCGATCTCATAACATAAACTGCGATTTACAATTCGTCTCTTCGTAATTTTCTTTATTAAGATAAGTGTATTAGTAGTTTTTGCAATTAATTTAAAATATTGATAAAATGATGATAAACTTGGTGAATATTGAACAAATTTTTGAAGTAAATCAGCTTATTAATCCGTAGGTTTTCTATCTTCGCTCTATCTTCAAACGAGACAAATAATTATTACTTATTAGCTAACATAAAAATAACTGGTTAAGTATTTATAGTTCATTAATTAAATTATATATAATAATTCTCAATTATTTTAATGAAAAGAAAAGTCTTACTCTTCTATTATCGGTGTACCCGTATGGAGATTCAAGCGTACGAGAACAAATTCGGAAAACGAAGAGTCTTATTAAGTGGCAATGCCATATACAATGACCGGGACGTTTAATTTAGTGGCCGACCGTAAAATTAGAGCGTCAACTAGCTCGAAGTCTCGATTTTGCCGATATATTTCACGACATTTCACAATCAAGCGTATATTTCATTATCAATAATATCCTACGCACCCTTATCCGTACGTCTGATTTACTTGGCGCGAGGCGAAATTCTCATTAAGCGAGATCGAGCCCGAAAGGTACGAACGCTCGACGAAGCGTTGAAATGCGCGGGAAAGCGATGCAAGACTTCTTCGAGCTCTTAAGAAAACCATATCTTAAGCGTCGCTCGGATGGCTAATGGGCGCAGTCTCTATACCGATCATTAATTCATTAAGGAAAATCCAGCGAACACCAGGCCACATCATATATAGAAATTAATAACGCGAACGGTAAGCAACGACTGCTTCACCTTATGCGAATTCGTACAGTTAGCTCGTAAATATAACCATAGGCGCTACAAATTTGATTGTTTCAAGTCAAGTTATTGTCAATAGAGAGAGAGAGAGAGAGAGAGAGAGAGAGAGAGAGAAGAAAAAAAAAGTAAATCCTAATAACAAGCTTATAAGCATTACAATTAATGATTAATGACATTACAAATAATGATCATTAGCTTATATGTGGCTGTACATCGTAATTGAAACGAATGGCAGACTAAGTAAAGTGGACCAAGGGATAGATACTTGTATATTTACTTGATTTTCAGATTTTCTCTTAATAAAAGCTCGTCGCTAACGAATGAAAATCGTGGCTTTTGCATTTATCGTCATTAATTTTGAGAACACATGCTTATGAAATTTGTCGACGCGTTGAACAATCACGAGGGAATTGGTTTATTGGTTTTACAAAATATTCGAAAAATATTGGCTAAAGCAAAAGATATTTTGATTTATAAAGATAACTCGTAATACGAACGGTGGTTCAATTTTCGAACAATTTACATGCGCGACTCGTGATTATTTTTATCCCATTGGAGTACAATATAACATGTCGTGCAAAAAAAAAATCTATAAGTTGTTTCTAGTTTGGCGATAAATCTTTCATAGGCTCTGCTGTAAATTTATCCATATTCCCGTGGATTTAAAAACTTAATTTACACGATAAAGCATCTGATGTTTTTCACCTACAAAGAGTTTATTTGGACCTTTAGTATATTTTAATCAGTCTTGGCAATTCTTCTATAAATTGTCATTATCGTGAAATCGATGGTCAGTTTATCAGGTATAAATTAGCGATTAAACATACTTTCGGCATTTCTCGCCGGTGCAGCCTCCAGCCGAGGGTACAGGGTCGCGCTTAGCATACGCTATTACCGAAGCCTCCTCACTAATTTCCCGGCGAGCCGATAAATCAGAAGCATATGTAACTGTGCGCCACCGCTCGATTCCAGGAGCCTCGCGTATAGACTAAAAGCACCAACGAACTCTCCTGGCAAATTAATGCGCCAGTTTTTGCCGGGGAAGAGCGCGGGCGAGCTTCAGCTTCTGCTCCGATCGGCCAATCCGATAAACCAGAGTTTTTGGTCGAGATCTCCGACATACCGCGACCCCGAGGAATGTATTTGCCGCGGGAGGAATCTTTTGCCCTCCGATCCGGGTGAAATCACTCAAACCGATCGTCGAATGTACATCGCGCTGCGTGGGAAACTCCCGATGATCTTCTTTTGCGGCGAAACGGCAATTTCTCTCGATGCCCCCCATCCATACCAGCCCGGCCAAAGCAACCCGAGCAAACCGAAAAACTTTCAGCGCTCTTCCCTCTCACGGACATCTCTCCGACTGCGATCTTCGATAATGCCTGCCCCAATAATATGAATATCTACTCGGTCGAAGAACTCGTGCACGACGGCAAATCGCTGTCGTAAGATTAGTACAGACAATGCACGCAACTTTTTCTTGACGGTTCCTGACTACATCGCGTTTGACTGCCTCAAGCAATAGTAGAAAAACTAATATTTTTCCTTTCATACACAAATCATTTGAGCCAAATTAGCAAAAATACTTACCAGACACGACTGCGCGTGCTGCCAAGAGTTTTCATACAGCGGCTCTCTGAACTTGCCTTGAAATATTATATTTCGGTATTTACGAATATTACATTTATTCTCATTATACATTATGCTCATGAGACGTTGATTTAGCGCTAGTAAATTCCATTTTAATAATACGAAATTTCTCAAATTCCATAGCGAGCATAGTGTTGCGCGCGTGCACATCGACCGCTTCTAGTAAATTATCTGACAAGCTTATTATTTAACGAAATGAAATATTAAAGTTGCCCCGCCCCCTCCCCAACTAACTTAAAACAGGCAGACAGGCAGACAGACAGGCAGACAGACAGGCAGACAGACAGGCAGACAGAGAGGCAGACAGACAATAAGACAGACAGACAGAGTGAGCGAGTGAGAGAGTGAAGGGTGGTTTGGGGGGGGGGGAAGGGGGAAGGGGTAAGGAGGAGAGTGAACGACGGGTGGCGATTGATGTGGAGGGTTTTGAAAGAGGAGGAGAAAATGATGGAGTGGGCGGGAGATGGGGAAGAGGGGTTGGAGAGAGGGGAGGTTACAGGGTGTCGTTGTATTAAATGATGCACAAAATACGTATATATCGGGTGTAGGTAATTCCCATAAACGGTACCCGGCGAGTCAGCAGTCCCACTTGACTCCAATTTGCCTAATAAAATCAACCGTGTGTTCCTCAGGGTGAGCTGCTTGATGAGCAACTCGGTAGATGATTGGGTGAGCAGCAGCATTGTGAGATGCAACGGGATACCAGGATTGACCAAAGAGCAGCGCGAGCTCTGCCACAGGAACCCGGACGTAACTGTGGCTGCGGTGAAGGGTCTGCAGATGGCGATATCCGAGTGCAAGCACCAGTTCACGTGGCACAGGTGGAACTGCTCCTCCCTCACGACGAGCAGCGTCACTCAGCACAGCAGCGTCATGCTGCAGCGAGGTAACGATCTTTATCCTTGACGATTAACATCTCTCGAGGAGATATATATCTCGCTCGCTTGATACCATCTTTCGCCGATAATTCGGATTATTCGAGGGACAACGATTCACGACGCCAGCGTCCTGACACATTTATTGGCTTCTTTCATTGACGTAGTCTCGACAATTTCAAATTCCCACGTACGGCCAATTCCTCGAGAGCACGCGCAACGCGACGAGGATAGTTAGAATAGCTAATGTCAATCTTCGTTACTCCATTGCAATTCGACAAACTAATTCCTAGGGGCTTTCGATTAAAATTCCATTGTCCATGCAGCGCTACACGGCTTTATCATTTTTTAAAATGGCGTGCATGAAATCGCACTCACAATTATCATAATATTCGTAATAATGTACGGAAGGAGCATGGAGGAGAGAGTCGTAAGGAAGCCGGCTAAATCCCATGGCAAACGTGTTATTATTATTTATCGCCTTATCAGTAGTAATGATAATTGTGCCATATGCTAGTTTGTCATTTACAATCGCATGTCAAAAGCTGAAATTTCGAGGACCGCAATTTCCATTATAATCGCGCGGGCTTTCACGATACGAAAGCTTCCGTTATTACAGTTTAATGGTTTGATATAAAAATCGATAGCCCATACTTTTCTCTTTGTTTTCATTTCTCGCTTAAGTCATCGCATATGGCTTTACAATTTTGCAGTTGGCTCACCGGTGAGATACAAATGTAGTTGGAAAATTATTTCTATTATACAAAAAATTGTAAAAACTATTTACAATTACAGAGCTATATTACTTGAAATTATTATTTTTTCGATCAATTATTGCTCATCACCATTTGCACCTTCGACATCCACTACATATTCTTTTAACGTAAAATTGACATACACACGCACGATCACATTAATCCTTAGTCAATATCAAAATGAGCCCCGAACATTAAATTCTTATTGCCTTTGCTTATAAAATTCATCTATTTAATGGAAAAATATTCAGTACAATAATATCACAATAATACAATAGAATATTTTCGAGATAAAGCATTTGTGTGTAAAAAAAGTGATTTTGTTATTAGGTATCGGATTCTATGTCATTATTCACAAATGTAGACGTTCTAATAAACAAATTTTTTTATTAAATAACGCACACCAGCACAGCAATAATCCTTGTCATTTAATAATACGGATTCCTGAATAAAAAGAGACTTGGTATTGACTCGGCAATAATCATACGATACATCAGCAATAAATAGGTATAAAGATGTACACAGGACATAGGTATAAAGAGTGCCGAGCGTTAAAAGAAAATGTTTGAGCGAATTATGGATGATTTTACGCGTGTCCCGTCTCGATTGACGAACCGGCGGCTCTCTCTCTCTCTCTCTCTCTCTCTCTCTCTCTCGCTCGCCGGAGCTTCATAAACTCGTTCTAAGCTCAGGAAGTTTCTCATGCGTAAGGCCGCGTAAAAACTTGACCCAGTTCCATAAGAAAAGTGCTTGCAACGTCGCGTGCTCTCTTATCCACGTCCTGTGAAGGAGCACCAACAATGTGACATATAAATTCGTCGGCGTGCAGTACGTGCGTCGAAAGTAGAAGACTCGGAAAGCGCTCATCATTGTATTATACTGTACACCTCAGAGGGACACATGCATCGGGCCCACGAGCGCCTTTATTTCACTATTTTGAAGGAGCGCGAACGTGAGCGACGCGTACCTGACTCGAAAGATCAAATAACCGGTCTTTTTAAACTCTTCTTTCCTTATGTATATGCACCACTTTTCATTTCCCGGCCATTATGTGCGCGTTATTCTGCCAAATGAAAAATGAGACCCTCGCGAAATTTCCTTATCCACGACTCCGACGATTTATGCCTATGCTAATTTCCATGTTTTTATAAGCTGATAATAATTTTAAAAAGCTACACGGCCATTCTTGCGCCTTATTTTCATTTGGCTGATAATATATTTCGCTCGATTTGCGCACGCGCGACTATAAGTACATTCTTCACGTTACTTTTATCACAAGTTTAAACATTATAATGCACATTTCTCAAATACTCTTTAAAGTCTTATTGTTTTGAATAAATTAATGAGATACGGCTTTTAAATCTTACGATTTATTTACGTGGCAACTTGCCTTAAAACTCGATTCGAAATTAAATGAAAATATATATTAAGTGATAGCGAGAAAATAACAGACATATTATTCACGGCGCCTCTGCTAAAAGCTAAAGTATACATATATATGATGAAAAAGCGCTGATTCAACGCGAAGGTACGATGGCTTGAAAAAATATTCCAGTTATGATACGTCCGATCGTCTTATGGCCAATAAGAAATATAATTTCTACGCATTCTTTACTAACTCATTTAAAATATATTTTACTTCTTTCTTACCGCTGATGTTAGGCAGTGCAGTAAAACTATCGAATGAAGATTATTCATTTGACAAGTCTTATTATTACTCAACCTTGATAATATGTATGCAAATTCTTGGAGATTGGAGTTTGAAACAGATCTCAAGAGTTTATATTATATTTATTTTAATTTTGCCTTTTAAAAGGCAATTTGTTTTTTATTTTATTGCCTTTTATTATTATTATTTTTTGTTTTGTTTTGTTTTTTCGTTATTGTTATTATTATTATTATTATTATTATTATAATTATTATTGTTGTTATGGTTTTTTTTTTTTTTTTTTTTTACGTTATTCGAATTCTTATCTAATATTGAAACGTATAAGTTCGTAGAAGAGAATAACGTTCGAAAAATATCAATTATCCTGGCATTTATAAACAAAGGTCAATTAATTATTTTTATATGCTTTTAATATTATAACTAATATTAATACGCGATGTAAATAGAAAAAATGTGATATTTGTAATATTAAATAAGCTGATAACTTCTGAGCGAATGTGACTTATGTTTGAAATATACGTCACAGATAAGAGAAAATGGCTTATACTAACTTTTGTATAATGCGGCTAAATAATTAAAAATTTCGAAATGTTTTGCAAAACAATTAACACATTAATAATAATGCCGGCAATAACATTTGAAGCTGCTTGAAATTAAAAATTAAAAAAAAAAAATATTATTTATATTCGTATCTTGACAAATAATTACGTAATTATATATAGAGATAAGAGGACGAGATATCCGTAAGGAAATAGTAGTGGGTTAACTAAGAATTAAATGGATATTTTAAAACAGTTAAGAATCTAATATTAGTTCTTATAAGAGGCACTAGACATATGGCATCCATAAATATATGTATATGTATATGTAAATTATATATTATATATTTATATTTATATATATATATATATATATATATATATATATAACTTTTTGAGATACGATAGATTATCATAAACCTTGTACGCTAATATCTCATAATAAATATAATGAAATTATCTATATCGATAGTTATGTATTTTTATAAAATAAGCGGTTGGAAAGCAACAAACGAGAGTGAAAATATATAAGATTATGCCAGCATCACATCAGGACTGCTCATTTTGTAAAATGTCCAGTAAGTGTGAACAAATTTCACGGTATATTTTGGAAAATTCGTTGTCACTTCAACTTAAATGAACATATCATATTATTGATGATCGATTAATGTAATAACAAATTTTCCAGGCATCCTCCGGAGAGTCGAGTCACTAAAGCTTCAACCTCGCGGTCTCGCGCGGAAAATGTGGTTCATTCATCGTCTAAAAACTTAACGAAAATTCCCAGGTGTAAAAAGACCGGAGAATCGACTCGATGATTAACTGTTATGCTTATCGTTTCGCTCCGGTTTTTCACGATGCACTTGGCCCGGGAGAAAGGGCGAGCCACCATCACGGCGATCTTCCGAGAAATTCTGTGCATCCGACTTTCCCATTCATTCTTCATCGTCTCTCCTTCTTTGTAAGAGCGAAATCCTGCCTCCGAAATCGAGCGTGTCGAATCCGCTCCTCGGGATTTTCAAGTCCACGTCTCAATGGAACTCCCTCGTCGTCGTAGTCGTTGTCGTCCCCCTCTATCCCCCTCGCTTTGTCCCCTCCCGCCCCGCCGCTGCCGCCC